ATATTCTGTCTGTGTGTATGTCTGCAGGCCAGAAGAGGGCACCAGACCTCATTATAGATGGTTGTGAGCCACCATGTGGTTGCCGGGAATTGAACTCAGGACCTTTGGAAGAACAGGCAATGCTCTTAACCACTGAGCCATCTCTCCAGCCCTATATCTTTTTTTTTGAGACAGGGTTTCTCTGTGGCTTTGGAGCCTGTCCTGGAACTAGCTCTGTAGACCAGGCTGGTCTCCCAGATTATATCTTGAATCTGAACAAATAATGAAGTCAATTCCATATCATCTGGTATAAATTCAGCTGTTTCAATATGCAAAACAACTCTTTCTACAAATTGTGAATCAATAACTATATCGAGAGGTTCTTTAAAATCCCATAGTGCCATGAGAATAGCATATTAGGCTGTATTTTGGCCAGAATCATAAGGGTTTTATTCCACTTTACTTAAATCTTCTGATTTGTAACCTGCCTTTCCTGATTTATTTGCATCAGTATAGAATGTGGGGGCTCCAGTTATTGGTGTGTCCTGTACAAGGTGAGAAAGGGTACAAGTAGCTCTTTTTATAAGTTTAGTTCTAATGCTCATCACAATCCCAGCAAAGTCCCAGCAAAATCCTTCACAGACCTCGAAAGAGTGGCACTCAACTTCATATAGAAAAACAAAAAACCCAGGAGAGCCAAAACAATCCTGGGCAATAAAAGAACTTCTGGACACATCACAATCCCGACTTCAAACTCTACTACAGAGCTACAGTACTGAAAACAGCCTGGTATTGGCATAAGAACAGATGGAAGGACCAATAGAACCGAATAGAAGACCCAGATATCAATCCACACATCTTCAAACACCTGATCTTTGATAAAGAAGCAAAAAACATCTAATGGAAAAAAGCATATTTAACAAGTGTTGCTGGCATAACTGGATATCAACATGTAGAAGAATGAAAATAGACCCATATCTATCTCCATACATAAAACTCAAGTCCTAATGGATCAAAGACCTCAACAAAAAGCCAGCCACACTGAACCTTATAGAAGAGAAAGTGGGAAGTACACTTGAACGCATTGGCACAGGGAACCACTTCCTAAATATAACCCCAGTAGCACAGACACTGAGAGAAACAATTAATAAATGGGACCTCCTTAAACTGAAAAGCTTCTATAAAGCAAAAAAACATGGTCAACAAGACAAAACAACAACCTACAGAATGGGAAAAGATGTTCACAAGCCCCACATCAGACAGAGGACTGATTTCCAAAATATACAAAGAATTCAAGAAATGGACACAAAAGAACACATAATTCAATAAAAAAAAATTGGAGTACAGACCTAAATAGAAAACTCGCAACAGAGGAATGTAAAATGGCTGAAAGACATTTAAGGAACTGTTCAACATCCTTAGTCATCAGAGAAATGCAAATAAAAACAACTCTGAGATTCCATCTTACACCTGTAAGAATGGCCAAGATCAAAAGCACTGATGACAACTTATGCTGGAGAGGTTGTGGGCAAAAGGGAACACTTCTGCATTGCTGGTGGGAATGCAAGCTGGTACAGCCCCTTTGGATGTCAGTGTGGCGATTTCTCAGAAAATTAGGAAACAACCTTCCNAAGATCAAAAGCACTGATGACAACTTATGCTGGAGAGGTTGTGGGCAAAAGGGAACACTTCTGCATTGCTGGTGGGAATGCAAGCTAGTACAACCCCTTTGGATGTCAGTGTGGTGATTTCTCAGAAAATTATGAAACAACCTTCCTCAAGACCCAGTAATACCATTTTTGGGTATATATCCAAAGGATGCTCAATTGTGCCACAAGGACATGTGCTCAAGTATGTTCATAGCAGCTTTGTCTGTCATAGCCAGAACCTGGAAGCAACCTAAATGACCCTTGATCGAAGAATGGATGAGATAAATGTGGTACATTTATACAATGGAGTACTACACAGCAGAAAAAAATAATGACAGTTTGAATTTTGCAGGAAAATGGATAGAGCTAGAAAACATTATTTTGAGTAAGGTAACCCAGATAGACCCAGAAAGACAATTATCACATGTACTCACTTATAGGTGGGTTTTAAACATAAAGCAAAGAAATCCCAGAGAATTTAGACAGCAATGTGGACACTAAGAGAGACTTACATAGATCTAATCTACATGGGAAGTAGAAAGTATAAAAAGACAAGATCTCCTGAATAATTGTGAGCATGGGGACCTTGGGAGAGGATTGAAGGGTGAGGGGAGAGGCAGGGAGGGAAGCAAAGAAAAATGTGCATTCAACCCATCTCATGCTTTGTTTTATTAGAGATAGGGTTCCAATTCCTAGGAACTGAACATCTGCCTCTTGAAGAGGCCAATATGGATTACATATTCTGGAGGACTAACAGTCTCATCCACACCCGTGTCCAGTAATCCTTCATATTTATACACACTCTCAGCTTTGGTCTTTCATCATTTATGGAAGTCTGACAAAATATATGTTTCCTATTTCCTATTGGAATTTTTGATTCAACCTCCATGTGTATTCTTCATCCAAAGCAGTACGGTTTTTCACAACAGGCACCAGATTTTCTAATTTTTCTGAGGAGGCATGTCCTTTACTGTGACTGGGAATGACTGGACCATGTTTGATCTGGGGGCCTGTGGGAGGGCCCCCAAGGAGTTCCCTGATGGTAAGGGGTTGCCTTGTTTGTCTCTTGTTGATCTACATTCATTGGTCCAGTGTCGACCTTTGCCACATCTTCTACATAATCCAGAAGATTGAGACCTTCTATTTTTGTCATCCCCAGAGGAAACATTATTTCTAGGAATGCCTTGTCTACAATCCTTTCTCAGATGTCCCATTCTACCACAATTAAAAGATTTGGTATTTTGATGTCTCTGCCTACCTTCAGAAATTGCTTCTTCTACCCAAGCCTCAGCATTATAGTCAAATGACTCAACAGTGGCTGTGTGCAGGATCCATTCATCCATTGGTGCTGATTTGACCTTAAAGCCCAAGTATCTTTCTTCATTCTAAGTTGGCATTCTCAAAAGCCAGAGATTGAGTAAGTACTTGTCTAGCTTCTGGATTTGTTACCCCTGTTTGTACAGCTTTGGTTAATCTTTGTAGAAAGTCACTAATGGGTTCTCTTGGGCCTTGTATGACCTTAGTATGTGATTCAGTTCTTTTCCCTGCTTCTTGAATCCTGTCCCAGCATTCAAGGCTGCTGTTGGCATAGTGACAAGATGTGTTCATTGTAAATAACTTGACTCTGTGGACCAGCATAAGTGCCCTCACCAAGAATTTGATCTTGGGAAGCCTCAAATCCTTTGACTCTCAGGGTTTTAGTCTCCTCTCTCCAACAGCACTTCCTCTGTAACTGCAGCCCATCTTCTAGCACCCCTGAGACTAACTGAAGCCAGTCATGTGGAGTAATCCTATTGTTTGAAGCCTATGTCTCTGCTATCTCCCTAATAAATGGTGAATGCATGCCATAAGATACTATTGCTTGCTTAATTTCTTTTAAATCTTTAATACCTATAGGTTTTCATTTACATTCCATGTATCTGTTTGGGTATTGAGTATTTGCTGGGTTTTCATAGGTAGTAATAGGAGAGGGCAGCTAAAACTCTTGGTAAGTCATCTCTGACTCTGAGAGGTACTAGAGATGCTCAATCTTTACTATGTCTTTTGCCTGTGACTCCTCTCTTTGCTTATCTGTTCTGACAAGTTCCTCAGTCAATTCAATTACTGTCTTATAAAGCCCGAATCTCTCTGTCTCTGTCTGTCTGTCTGTCTCTCTCTTTTTTTGAGACAGGGTTTCTCTAATATTGGTGCCTGTCCTGGAACTAGCTCTTGTAGACCAGGCTGGCCTCGAACTCACAGAGATCCGCCTGCCTCTGCCTCCCGAGTGCTGGGATTAAAGGTGTGCGCCACCACTGCCTGGCCTAAAGCCTGAATCTCTCCTTTTTTTAATTAAAAACTTTATTTGACTTTATTTCATGTGCATTGGTATAACAATATCAGATTCTCTTGAACTGGAGTTAGTTACAGACAGCTGTGAGCTGCCATGTGGGGGCTGGGAATTGAACCCAGGTCCTCTGGAGGAGCAGTCAGTGCTCTTAACCCCTGAGCCATCTCACCAGCCCCAAGCCTGAATCTCTTGACTTGTGAATATTTCTAATGATTCCATCAAACCAATTAATTTCTGGTTCTCATTTGGCACGTGTGATTCCAAGGTTTTCAATCTTTGCATTAATGGTATCTTCTCATCCTTAGAGATTATTTGGATGGCGCATAGATTGCCTTCCTGGAAGAATGTTCTGTCTGTCAGCTTATCATAACTCTTTAACAGATTTTCACTGTGAATTTCAACAGCGTAAATCCTTTCAGATAATCTCTCAGTCCTATTTTTGTAAGATTTCATAACCCAGTTATCATTTTCAATGTATGAATCCTTTCAACTAAAACTGTATCATTCCTAAAATTTCTCATTCTTAACTCTGTTATCAAATAATTTCATTAAGAATATAATAAGGAGGGGGCTGGAGAGATGGCTCAGTGGTTAAGAGCATTGCCTGCTCTTCCAAAGGTCCTGAGTTCAATTCCCAGCAACCACATGGTGGCTCACAACCATCTGAAATGAGGTCTGGTGCCCTCTTCTGGCCTTCAGGCATACACACAGAAAGAATATTGTATACATAATAAATAAATAAATAAATATTTTAAAAAAAAAAGAATATAATAAGGAGCCGGGCGGTGGTGGCGCATGCCTTTAATCCCAGCACTCGGGAGGCAGAGGCAGGAGGATCTCTGGGAGTTCGAGGCCAGCCTGGTCTACAAAGAGCTAGTTCCAGGACAGGAACCAAAGCTACAGAGAAACCTTGTCTCAAAAAAAAGGTATAATAAGAAAAACAAAGCTAATAGCTGTCTTGACCACAGATATAGATATATACATATATATATATAGTACAAGGTAGCTCATATAGCTCTTGCAGAATTCCATCCATAGTAGAAACAAAAAGGTTGTTAAATTCCTGCATGGTGATATTGTCTACCATTATTTTGGGGTTGGTTTACAATTTTCAAAATTATTTATTTATTTACCAAATTTACCTTCTTTATAATTTTCAGAAAATTGTAGGTGTAATAATCTTGATTGGCCAGCAGGTGTCGCAGTTGTGACAGTAAGGCAGTTCCTAGAGCAGTACCTCAATTACCTGAGGCTTCCTGAAATACTAACAAATTTAGTCCGTTACATAAGAGCAGCACACCCACATACAGAGGTTTGAGTTGGGCAGAATATCAAGGAACCTAGAGTTTGCAGGCAGTCACGAGCCACGAGTTTACTGGCTGAAGCTCGGGCCAGGCATTCGGGGATCTGAACTGGGAACACAAGCCAGTGTTCTAGGTACAGGTTTACAGCCTCTGGTCCTAGAGTCAGAGCTCAGCCTGATCAGAGCAGGCCCAGCAGAAGCCAGAGAAGCCACAGAGTTGTTGCAAAAAGCCGCTTAGTAGATGGGCTGGTGGGAAATTGCCAAGGTGCAGTGGTGGGTCAGCTGAGCCAAACCTTGTGCAGCTGTGCAGAAGGGTGGTAGTGCAGCTGGGTGGGGTGGGAGGTGGCCGTGGGGGTCTGGCAGGGCCTGGCAATGGTGTGTACTCAGGCCACATGGGCACTAATTTGTTGGCATACTACAGAGTTCCACAATAGCCCAGAAAGGCATATAACGAAGGTTTATTTATTTGGGGATAAACTCACAGAAAGTGTAGTGATCTGCAGTCCTGTGCATACACGTGGAACTGGAACCGAATCTGGCAGCCAAGAGGCCTGCGTGTGCTTTTTGTCTGCATTTATAGCACATGAGAGCACGCCCAAAGTGGGCCAGGATCTTAAAGGCTATTGGCTGAAGGAGTTCCCACAGCATGTCCCCAGCATCACAGGAAGATCTACCTACTGCACGTTGGTTTAACCTCCCATGAGCGTGACTGTTTCCCTGATAGATTCCATGTGGTTTTTTTCCTTCTTCTGGGGTGTGTGTGTGTGTGTCCTGGCTGCCATCACCCAGCTTCTAAACGCATTTCCTACCTGGCACCCGATCAAATTCATCCTGTTCTTGGTTTGGCCACCCTGGAATCTGTGTTCCCATTTTCTCTATTTTTTTTAATGTTTAAATTTTTTATTTTTCATTAAACACACTGTGAAGGCCCTGTGGGGAGAGACCCAACAGAGACCTAACAGTCTCTTGTATGGCTGGCACAGGTGGCTCAGCCACATCTCAGCATGAGGGGTGGTGGGCAGGGGCTAGGAGGCTATGGCTCGTTACTTCTAGTTGTGCAGTTGGGTGCGCCTGGCAGGTAGCCCAAAACATGCTCACGCATGGCAGGCAGATGTCTGTGGCAAGAAGGAGGAGGAGAGAGCGAGGACAAATTCATGGGGTACAGACACAAAGATTCAGAGAGCGGTGCCGCCCCCAAGCACAGCCTGCGGAAGGACAGAAAACCAAATCGGACTGGAAACAAAACAACCAGTGAGATGGTTAGATAAAGACGCTCTTGCCGAGCCTGAAGACCTGAATTCTATTCCCTGAGTCCGTGTGGTGGAAGGTGAGAACTGTTTGCTGTGGCGCGCGTGTGCGCATGCACAAGAACACATTTTTAAAGGGCATTGTTTTTTCACTGTGGGGGTTTATGCCCGTGTGCCATAGCATATGGATGGATGTCAGACGACAACCCTTGGGGTGACTCAGTTCTCACCTTCCATCACGTGGGTGCGGGGAATGAAATCCTATGTCAAACTAAAGTGAAGGGCTAGAGTTATTTGCTCAGAAGTGACGTGTACCCAGCGGCAGGGGACCCGATGCGCTCTGTCCGTCTCGGAGGACACGGCGCGTATGCGGCTGACACACGTGCCTCTTTAAGGAAAGAAAATACCATCTAACATGAAAAAGGGGTCTGCTTAAAGTGTTGCCAACTAAGCTCCGGGCGAGTGGGGGGTCCCTTCTCTGCTTGCTCGGTCAGGTCTGGCTTTCGCCCCCTGCTGGCCAGCGGCTGCTTCACCTAAGACTCCGGAGGCAGCTCGGCCCCTGCTCAGCTTTGCTCAGGATTGGATCCGAGGCACGTTCGGTGCCGGCTGGGAACGAGGCTGCCTCGTCTCCTGCCTGCGCCCACACGCACCGGAAGTACGTCCCAGCACTGCCAGGGTCGCAGGCTTTTTACCGCCTACTCGTTGACATTTCCTCGGGGAAATGTAGTTTCTTTTCGGCGGACGTGCATGTTTTCCCGTACGCTCCGCGGTAATGACAGGCAGCAGAAGCACGTCATCACTTGGCCGACTCGGTTGCGCCCCTAAAAGCATGGTGTAAAACTTCACCTGGTGGGACCCGTAGTCATTCGGAAGCTACCCCCGGCTCGGATAATCCTCGTGCCGTTCTGATCTGGAGCCCAACCTTCTGGGACTCCTGTTGGGCAGGAGCGCGTTTACTCGCATTTCCCAGGGTCGCACACACTAATGACAGTTTAGCCGTGCAAGACAGGATTTCCACCCGCACGCTCCGGAGCCATGCCACGGTGCACAGTGGGCGCGGAAACGGAGCCCTTCTTGGCCGGGAGGACGCCTGCGCTTCTGTTGGCACCATCGCGCTTCCTCCGGACGATCCTGGGAAGTGTCACTTCTAGGGAGCAGGGCGCGAGCCCCCTGTATAATCCCTGCCGGTGACGGTGTCCTTTGTAGAACGGAGCGAGAACGTGCTTCCTGCAGTCCGCCGTACACTCACTAACGGGACGTGCGTGACCGAATTTCCCAGGGTCGCACTGATTGTTGGCCTGGCCTGGCCAAATTGCTGTCCTCGTCCTCCCTTCGGCACTGCCCACCACTCTGCCTACGATTCCCAGCGGCTGTCCCTATGCCTTTCGGGAAATGTAGTCTTTTCTCCTCTCTCCGTTCTCATCTCGGTACCTTCCAGCAGGCGATCGATCGCTCACAGGACTCCATTTCCCAGCATGCCTGCGCCGAGTCCGTCCGCGCCCCGTCGCGGAGGCCATTTCGTTCCGCCCGGAGACCGCTAAGATGGCGGCGGGGGAGAAAGTGAAGGTTGTCTCCTGCGACAGGCGGCCCGGCTAGAGCCGGCAACGTGGCGCCCAGCATGGATCTACACACGGCGGTGTACAATGCGGCGCACGACGGCAAGCTGCAGCTGCTGCAGAAGCTGCTGGCCGGCCGCGGGCGGGAGGAGCTGGATGAGCTGCTGGGCGAGGTGGCGGGCGGCGGCACGCCGCTGCTGATCGCGGCGCGCCGCGGACACCTGGACGTGGTGGAGTACCTGGTGGACCACTGCGGCGCCAGCGTGGAGGCGGGCGGCTCGGTGCACTTCGACGGCGAGACGATCGAGGGCGCGCCGCCGCTCTGGGCCGCGTCGGCGGCGGGCCACCTGGCCGTGGTGCGGAGCCTGCTGCGCCGCGGCGCCTCGGTCAACCGCACCACCCGCACCAACTCCACGCCGCTGCGCGCCGCCTGCTTCGACGGCCACCTGGACGTGGTGCGCTACCTGGTGGGCGAGCACAAGGCCGACCTGGAGGTAGCCAACCGCCACGGCCACACGTGCCTCATGATCTCCTGCTACAAGGGACACCGCGAGATCGCGCGCTACCTGCTGGAGCGCGGCGCGCAGGTGAACCGGCGCAGCGCCAAGGGCAACACGGCCCTGCACGACTGCGCCGAGTCCGGCAGCCTGGAGATCCTGCAGCTGCTGCTGGGCTGTCACGCGCGCATGGAGCGCGACGGCTATGGCATGACCCCGCTGCTGGCCGCCAGTGTCACCGGGCACACCAACATCGTGGAGTACCTCATCCAGGAGCAGCCCGGCCACGAGTATCTCTCGGGGGTGGAGCTGCCCAGGGAAGGGTCCCCCCAGGGGGCAAGCAGCGGCCGCTCCACCCCTGAAGAATCAGAGCCTTATGAGAGCTGCTGCCCCACCAGCCGTGAAGCGGCCGTGGAGGCTTTGGAGCTGCTGGGAGCCACCTACGTGGATAAGAAAAGGGATCTGCTCGGAGCCCTGAAGCACTGGAGAAGGGCGATGGAGCTCCGCCACCAGGGTGGGAACTACCTCCCCAAGCCCGAGCCCCAACAGCTGGTTCTGGCCTACGACTATTCCAGGGAGGTGACCACGCCCCAAGAGCTGGAGGCCCTCATCACAGATCCTGATGAGATGCGGATGCAGGCCCTGCTGATACGGGAGAGGATCCTGGGCCCCTCGCACCCTGACACTTCCTACTACATAAGGTACCGGGGTGCTGTCTACGCAGACTCTGGAAATTTCGAGCGCTGTATCCGTCTTTGGAAGTATGCCTTGGATATGCAGCAGAGCAACCTGGAGCCGCTGAGCCCCATGACGGCCAGCAGCTTCCTGTCATTTGCGGAGCTCTTCTCTTATGTGCTGCAGGACCGCTCCGCCAAGGGCAACCTGGGCATGCAGCTTGGTTTCCCCGACCTCATGGGCGTGCTCAGCAAAGGGGTGCGGGAAGTGGAGCGGGCCCTGCAGCTGCCCAAGGAGCCGGGGGACTCGGCGCAGTTCACCAAAGCCATCGCCATCATCCTCCATCTGCTGTACCTGCTGGAGAAGGTGGAGTGCACCGCTGGCCAGGAACACCTCAAGCACCAGACAGTCTACCGCCTGCTCAAGTGTGCCCCGCGCGGCAAGAACGGCTTCACCCCACTGCACATGGCAGTGGACAAGGAGACCACCAACGTGGGTCGCTACCGCGTGGGCGTCTTCCCCTGCCTGCATGTGGTCAGGGTGCTGCTGGACTGCGGGGCTGACCCCGACAGCCGGGACTTCGACAACAACACTCCGCTGCACATTGCTGCTCAAAACAACTGCCCAGCCATCATGGACGCACTCATCGAGGCCGGGGCCCACATGGATGCCACCAACGCCTTCAAGAAGACTGCCTATGAGCTGCTGGACGCCAAGCTGCTGGCCAAGAGCACCGTGCAGCCCTTCAACTATGTAACACTGCAGTGCCTGGCCGCCCGTGCCCTGGACAGGAACAAGGTCCCTTATAAGGGGTTCATCCCAGAGGAGCTGGAGGCCTTCATCCAGCTGCACTGAGCCTGGCCTGCCACCCGCCTGCACTTTGGCCTTCTCCGAGCAGAAGCATCCTGTCCCCTTGGCCTACAGGCAGTGGAGTGAGCCCGACTGTTGGTTCTAGAAACCTTCAGGGTCACGTGGTAGGAAGATGGTCTTTCTCTGTGGCAATGCAGAAGGGTACCGGGGCCGCCTCAGTGACATCTGTCTGGGTCTGGAGACCTCTGCCATTGTCACCTGGTCTCCAGCTAGCTTGTCCTGGAGTCCTGTGTAGCCGACACTGTCAAGATGGAGTCAGAAGTCACTGGCGCCTTCCTGCAGTGGGGCACCTGCCACCTAGATGTTTGCGGTTGGTTTGTTGTTTACTAAGCAAGTGGGCGACAGCTGGGAGCCCACATTCTGAGGTTTTTGCTCGGTCTTTTTTTCCTTGGTTTCTGTTTGTTGGACTCAGTAATGACTTAGTTTGAAGTTGCTGCCAGGACTTTGGTGTGGCCACAGCTGAAACCAGCATGAGCTGTGAGTGCAGACCTGTGACAGACTTGCTGCGAAGCCTCCCTGCTTCCACACTGCTTAGAGAGAGGACTGTCCCTAAGAAGAGCCAGAGCAAGTGACAGGAACAGCCAGGCCGACAACTGCCTCCAGCCCCATCCTGTGGGATGGCTGGCAGGTGCTCTGGTCACCAGGTCATATCCGTGCCACACTTGTCCTGTCTCCCTGACCCCAGGTCTTCGTGAAGAGTCCATAGTGTCTCCACTAACTACCAGGAGTGGGAAGGTGGGGAGCTGCCCAGGGCTGCGATAGGCCACCCAGGCCCTGAGTGCAGCCCTAGGGGTGCATACCGCCTGAACAGCACCAGCCTGGGGCTCCACCAGCTCTTGTCCCTGTCCTTTACCGTGAGTGGGATTAAACCTGCATCACACCGAGGCAGGAGATGCACATCCCTGGCTTGTGGGAACCAGCTGCAAGGGGAGAAAGTCTAGTGTAGCGAGGCCAGTCCCTCCCTTGGCCGTGGAAGCCGTCCTGCGAGGACATTGGTGTGTGATTGCAGTGTTAGGTAGCTTGTTCTCTGTATAAAACAAGCCTTAGGCCTTACTGGGCAGAGCCTCACTGCCCTGCCATCCGAAGCTCAGGGCAGACATGAACCCCTGTGAGTCTTGGCACTTATATTTATTGATTAAAATACAGGTATGTGAAGGAGTCTGCCTAGCGGTTAATTGATGTGTGCCTGTCAAGAATGCCTGTACACAGACCCGCCATCTGAGCATGGCTGAGGCTGAGGCAGGAGGATCTCAAGGTGGAGGCCATCCTAGAGGACAAAGTGAGTCCAAGCACAGCCTGAGGTGACATTAAGTCAAGACCCCCACCCTCTTAAAACCATCTCTTACGAGGTACGGGCCCTACCGAAGTGCTCAAATGTGCCCCTGCGTCACGGTAGCTGCCTTCTGAAGGAGCTGTTTCCACTCAGGTGCCTGTGAGCTAGTCCAGAGAGGTTAAGATCACCAGCCGAGGGCCTAGGGACATGTAGCACGTGACCAAAGGGCAGACTTGAACTCTCTCTCAGCAGTTGACATGTCCAGATCCATTCCTCTGCCTTAGCACCCTGATCATCTGGCTCTGGACCTGGCTCTGCTGGACATCCCTGGGAGGGTTGATCCAGCAGCTCCCAAGGGGTTCTCCTTGGTGGGAACAACAGAATCAAAGATTTCCTGCCAAATCCCTACAGGGTCTGCCTGTCCTTCACTATATGGTGTCTGTGATTGGACAAGCCTGTGTACCCCAGCCAATCACAATAGCCTGTGAGTTAGCTGCGGTGATTAGTTACGAGGTAGCCTAGAGACCTGTGGTTATAAGGTTGGAATTCTGGGGAAGAATTAACCACTAAAGCAGGGTTTGGTGCCTTTGGGAGGCAGAGGCAGCTGGATCTCTGTGTGCAGGGCCATCCTGGTCTACAGCCAGGGCTACTAGAGAGACTGCCCTCCAAAACAAAGAGTCATGCAGGGGAGATGACTCAGTGGGTAAGAGCTTGCCACCTGTGAGACTCCAACCCCTCAGAACACAACACCGTTATAGGTGGGCAGAAAGACTGGGAACAAGGAAGGAGAACCCTAACCCCAGTGTGGGGGTGCCAGTCACAGGTGGGTGACATGTCCCCATTTGACGCCACACCCCATCACAACAGACGGGCGCTTGGTGCAGTGTTCTCTGTTCATATGGAACAGGGTAGTGGCACAGACTGTCCCTTGAGGCTGCACCAGTGTCTGCTATTTCTAGGTAGGGAGCATTCCCGCCCCAGGTTAAACATAGTCCGGTATGGAGCCATGTCACTGGGCACTCGGCCAGTGGTACAGAGGGCCCAAGAGGATGGCAGGAGGATTGACGGGCATAGCAGGTGTGGGTGAGGAGGAGGTGGGCCTGGCCCTGTGCATTTGAGACTCCACACCCACAGCCTGTCAAGGAGTGAGAGTAAACCAGGCACGCCATCACACCCCTTCAGTTCCAGCAGGGGAGGCCCGGCTCCCTGTGTTCCCTGTGCAGTACAGGACAGCCAGGCCTACAGTGAGACCCTTTCTTGGGGACAGAAACAAACTCCAAGTGAGCTTGGTTGACCTGCAGAAGCTCTCTAGATCACCCACGAGTCTCACAGCACGGCCTTCCAGGCTCTTTCCTTCTTAGCTGAGTGCTTGCTCACTTTTTAAATTATGTGTGTTTCGGGGGGCATGTGTGTGAGCGCAGGGTCTGCAGAGGCAGGAAGTGTCAGTTTGCCCGGATCTGGAGCTGTGCTTTTTAGGCAGCAGGCTCATGTAGCCCAGGTTGCCTCATCTAGAGTGCTGGGGTGACAGGCCTGCGCCATCGTGCTTGGTTTGCAAAGCTGTCTTTATATATACACACAGTTTTTAGCATATTGATACTTCAGGGGTGCACAGCCATTGCCATTTCCAGAGGTCCCCCAGAAGCTGATTTTCAGACCTGGGGGGAGGGGTCAGCAGTAAACATTGTGGATGGAGCCCTGGGACCCAGCCCCCAGCACTGAGAGAAACACTTTTTAAAAACTAACGTTGACTTAACAAACGAGAGCTCTGGCTGGAGAGATGGCTCAGAGGTTAAGAACATTGATGATACGGAGGACTTGAGTTCAAGTCCTAGCAACCACACAATGGCTCACAGTCGTATATAATGAGATCTGGTGCCCTTTTCTGGTGTGCAGGCATACATGTAGAGGGAACACTGTATAATAATAAATAAATCTTTATACAAAAAGGAGGACTGGCAGGGAAAGATGGGCGGGATGAGTGAGGCTGGATCGCCAGCAGAACCAGAAGGATAGAACCCTCAAAATTAGAGTTCGATGTGGGCGTATCAAAGCTGCAGAGCCGCGGTCAGAGCATTGATCTGCTCACATCTGGTGAGGGGTCCGAGAGCCTAAGTCTTCAGGGAGAAGAAACCCCCTTCTCGCTTCCCTGAGATTCTGACCACATCCCAAGGCTGCTTAAAGGCCTGGGCCACAGGACAGGCTAAAAATAAAAGCCTCGCCCTGGCATCTGGCAGGAGACGGCACTCTTTGGGTGCCCATCTCAAGGTAGAAAAGCCCCACTCAATCTCACTTTGCAGTCTTGGAGATGGATGCCACCTCTCTGGGCCGCAGATTTGGAAGGAACACTGTGCCCCTCCGGGAAGCATCTGGATGGCCCCTATTGCTGCTTTTGCCCCAGGGCAGAAACACTCAGCTGTCTGGACTGTGTTTGTGATCTCAGGTTGCTGCTCTGGGTGCCCCGATTGAAAGTCTGTTCATGGTAGCGCCGCCTTGGCATGTCCCATCATCCCCCACACTCTTTAACATGTTATAACCATCCCACAGCCCAGGCTGAACACAAACTCGCTATGTAGCTGAAGTTGACCTTGAACTGTTGGTTTACTGGGGATGGGCCCCTCAGAAGCTCCACACTCCTCCCCAGCTGTGCCCTGCAGCCCCAGGTGGACTCATTCCCACCTGCCTGCCAGTTCCTACTGTGCCCTCAGCATCCTCACCGCTGGCCTTGGAGCTCACAAAGGTGGAGGCAGGGACCACAGCAGGCATCACATTAACTCCCGTCTGCAGCTGAGAGTCAGCCATTTCCTGATCACCTGCTGAGTACCAGAGGGTGGGCAGTGAATAGTGGAGTAGTGTGTGATAGTGGGGACCTGTGGGAGCCTAGGTAGGTAGGGTCTAAGGGGGTTTTGATTTGGGGTTTCTGTGTTTGCTTCGGAAATAGGGTCTCACTATGTAGCCCAGACTGGCCTGGCATAAGTTTTAGTTTGTAATTTGAAAGGTTTTTGTTGAGTTAAGGCCTCTCAAGTGCTGAAGTGGCCACATGAGCTTCTGGCCTGGGTTAAAGGGCTGACCTGAAGTGAGTCTGGGCTAGGGGTGTGTGTCAGCAGCGCAGCATCTGTCCGTCTGTCTGGGGGGTGTATCAGCAGTGCAGCATATGTCTATCGGTGTGTGTGTAGGCAATGCAGCATCTGTCTGTCTGTCTGGGGTGTGTGTCAACAGTGCTGCATCTGTCTGTCTGGGGTTGTGTGTCAGAAGTGCAGCATCTGTCTGTCTGTCTGAGGGTGTGTGTCAGCAGCGCAGCATCTGTCTGTCTGTCTGGGGTGTGTGTCAGCAGTGCAGCATCTGTCTGTCTGTCTGGGGTGTGTGTCAGCAGCGCAGCATCTGTCTGTCTGTCTGGGGTGTGTGTCAGCAGCGCAGCATCTGTCTGTCTGTCTGGGGGTGTGTGTCAGCAGTGCAGCGTCTGTCTGTCTGTCTGTCTGGGGGTGTGTGTCAGCAGTGCCGCATTTGTCTGGCTCAGTAAGGGCTCTGAGTTTGATCCCCAATGCCAGAAATAATCGTGTTTGTGCACACGTATACACATGTGGATACGGATGTACACACACACACACACACACACGTCTGGAGGCCT